GGAGAATTGTCTGGCCATTTAGGTGTAAATAAAACTTATCATAGAGTTTTATGTCATTTTTATTGGCCACGTTTGAAAAAAGATGTTGCTCATTTCATAAAAACCTGTCACACTTGCCAGTTAACTGGAAAACCTAATCAGAGCATAAAACCTGCTCCTCTCTTTCCAATACCTGCAATTGGGAAGCCTTTTGAACATTTAATCATAGACTGTGTTGGTCCACTGAGTCCTTCTAAGTCAGGTTCTGTGTACTTGTTGACAGTTATGTGTAAATGCACTCGTTATCCTGCAGCATATCCTTTGAGATCCATCACAACAAAGTCAGTAGTCAAGGCTTTGTCTCATTTTATCTCAGTGTTTGGAATCCCAAAGACCATTCAGACAGACAGAGGTACCAATTTTACCTCACGCATGTTTGCTGAGATTTTGAAGCAACTTGGTGTAGCTCATCAACAAAGCAGTGCTTATCATGCTCAAAGCCAGGGAGCTTTGGAACGTTTTCATCAGAGCCTGAAAGCGTTGCTGCGAGCATACTGTACAGAGTTGAGTAGAGACTGGGAAGAAGGTCTGCCTTGGCTTCTTATGGCAGCTCGTGAAGTTACACAAGAGAGCACAGGGTTCAGTCCTAATGAACTAGTGTTTGGACATCAAGTACGTGGTCCACTTGCTGTTTTAAAAACTAACTTGGAGAGTTCTGATCCACCTTTGAACTTATTTGACTATGTTAATGGTTTTCGTCGCAGACTTTTCTTGGCTGGAAAACTAGCTTCTGAGAATCTGAAAAAGGCTCAGAGAAAAATGAAAAAATGGTTTGATCAGAAGGCTGAAACAAGAGTGTTTCACCCAGGAGATAAAGTTCTTGCTTTACTTCCTGTTCAAGGTTCTTCATTTCAGGCAAAGTTTTATGGTCCATATTCTGTGTTGAGACAAGTGTCTGCACAAGATTATGTGGTTTCTACCCCAGACCGGAAAAAACTTACTCAGCTTTGTCATGTAAATTTACTGAAGCCTTATTTCAGTCGAAGTTTGGACGAGAAAATGGAGGTAAAGGCCGTTGCCTCTTCTGTGAAAGTGGA